CTCATACGTCTCCTGGTGACATTTCGATACGACAGCGGCAGGATTCGAACCTGCGCGAGCAGAGCCCAGTGGATTTCTAGTCCACCTCCTTAACCACACGGACACGCTGTCTCTGTCGCGGCTAGGATTATAGGATTGACTTCGGGGAGCTCAGTCGTATTCGCAGTGCTGGGGAATTCAGACTCGTAGCCTTGAACACTCAATCAATAAGTCACAATGGCCGCACCAGCGACACCTGAGGGATTCGAACCCTCGCGGGCAGAGCCCAACGGCTTAGCAGGCCGCCGCCTTAACCACTCGGCCAAAGTGTCACATCAGACTGTTTCTAGCAACCAACCGAGGGAGCAGCCGCTTTGCTCGAGGAATTTGGTCGGTCCCAAGAACCAGTTGAGGGGCAATCAATTTCCACTGTCTCGAACGCGAGTTGTAACCGAGGGAGCAGCCGCTTTGCTCGAGGAATTTGGTTGGTCCCAAGAACCAGTTGAGGGGCAATCCATTTCCAACTCCTCATGCTCTCGCCCGCTAGAAGCGTCTACGATTGTCACGTGGCTCGTATGGTGATCACTGCGGGAGCAGCCCTGGCGGACAGCCGGGAAGAGTGAGTTCACTCGGGAAGCTCATCAGAGGTAGAGGGCCGGCATCAGAAGATAAGCATCATAGCAACCTGCCGAAGGAATGTTGCCAAATACTCACACGTCTCCTGGTGACATTTCGATACGACAGCGGCAGGATTCGAACCTGCGCGGGCAGAGCCCAGTGGATTTCTAGTCCACCTCCTTAACCACTCGGACACGCTGTCTCTGTCGCGGCGAGGATTATAGGATTGACTTCGGGGAGCTCAGTCGTATTCGCAGTGCTGGGGAATTCAGACTCGTAGCCTTGAACACTCAATCAATAAGTCACAATGGCCGCACCAACGACACCTGAGGGATTCGAACCCTCGCGGGCAGAGCCCAACGGCTTAGCAGGCCGCCGCCTTAACCACTCGGCCAAAGTATCACATCAGACTGTATCTAGCAACCAACCGAGGGAGCAGCCGCTTTGCTCGAGGAATTTGGTTGGTCCCAAGAACCAGTTGAGGGGCAATCAATTTCCACTGTCTCGAAACGCGAGTTATAGTTATATAGGTAAGCAAAATGGAGAGACGTTTTCGTCTTGCTGGCGTGGACGTCAACTTTGTGTGCATCAGATTTTCTGGGAGAGATCCACTAAACTCAACTGTATATTTTTCGGGGACTGTGGATCCTGAGAGAAAGTCGGGAAATGAAGGACTCGTCGGTAGAGTTTCGTTTGATTGTTTCCATGCCTCCCTCTTTCCGCGCTTCTAACTCCTCATGCTCTCGCCCGCTAGAAGCGTCTACGATTGTCACGTGGCTCGTATGGTGATCACTGCGGGAGCAGCCCTGACGGACAGCCGGGAAGAGTGAGTTCACTCAGGAAGCTCATCAGAGGTAGAGGGCCGGCATCAGAAGATAAGCATCATAGCAACCTGCCGAAGGAATGTTGCCAAATACTCGTACGTCTCCTGGTGACATTTCGATACGACAGCGGCAGGATTCGAACCTGCGCGGGCAGAGCCCAGTGGATTTCTAGTCCACCTCCTTAACCACTCGGACACGCTGTCTCTGTCGCGGCTAGGATTATAGGATTGACTTCGGGGAGCTCAGTCGTATTCGCAGTGCTGGGGAATTCAGACTCGTAGCCTTGAACACTCAATCAATAAGTCACAATGGCCGCACCAACGACACCTGAGGGATTCGAACCCTCGCGGGCAGAGCCCAACGGCTTAGCAGGCCGCCGCCTTAACCACTCGGCCAAAGTATCACATCAGACTGTATCTAGCAACCAACCGAGGGAGCAGCCGCTTTGCTCGAGGAATTTGGTTGGTCCCAAGAACCAGTTGAGGGGCAATCAATTTCCACTGTCTCGAAACGCGAGTTGTAACCGAGGGAGCAGCCGCTTTGCTCGAGGAATTTGGTTGGTCCCAAGAACCAGTTGAGGGGCAATCAATTTCCACTGTCTCGAAACGCGAGTTATAGTTATATAGGTAAGCACAATGGAGAGACGTTTTCGTCTTGCTGGCGTGGACGTCAACTTTGTGTGCATCAGATTTTCTGGGAGAGAGCCACTAAACTCAACTGTATATTTTTCGGGGACTGTGGATCCTGAGAGAAAGTCGGGAAATGAAGGACTCGTCGGTAGAGTTTCGTTTGATTGTTTCCATGCCTCCCTCTTTCCGCGCTTCTAACTCCTCATGCTCTCGCCCGCTAGAAGCGTCTACGATTGTCACGTGGCTCGTATGGTGATCACTGCGGGAGCAGCCCTGGCGGACAGCCGGGAAGAGTGAGTTCACTCGGGAAGCTCATCAGAGGTAGAGGGCCGGCATCAGAAGATAAGCATCATAGCAACCTGCCGAAGAAATGTAGCCAAATACTCGTACGTCTCCTGGTGACATTTCGATACGACAGCGGCAGGATTCGAACCTGCGCGGGCAGAGCCCAGTGGATTTCTAGTCCACCTCCTTAACCACTCGGACACGCTGTCTCTGTCGCGGCGAGGATTATAGGATTGACTTCGGGGAGCTCAGTCGTATTCGCAGTGCTGGGGAATTCAGACTCGTAGCCTTGAACACTCAATCAATAAGTCACAATGGCCGCACCAACGACACCTGAGGGATTCGAACCCTCGCGGGCAGAGCCCAACGGCTTAGCAGGCCGCCGCCTTAACCACTCGGCCAAAGTGTCACATCAGACTGTATCTAGCAACCAACCGAGGGAGCAGCCGCTTTGCTCGAGGAATTTGGTTGGTCCCAAGAACCAGTTGAGGGGCAATCAATTTCCACTGTCTCGAAACGCGAGTTATAGTTATATAGGTAAGCACAATGGAGAGACGTTTTCGTCTTGCTGGCGTGGACGTCAACTTTGTATGCATCAGATTTTCTGGGAGAGAGCCACTAAACTCAACTGTATATTTTTCGGGGACTGTGGATCCTGAGAGAAAGTCGGGAAATGAAGGACTCGTCGGTAGAGTTTCGTTTGATTGTTTCCATGCCTCCCTCTTTCCGCGCTTCTAACTCCTCATGCTCTCGCCCGCTAGAAGCGTCTACGATTGTCACGTGGCTCGTATGGTGATCACTGCGGGAGCAGCCCTGACGGACAGCCGGGAAGAGTGAGTTCACTCAGGAAGCTCATCAGAGGTAGAGGGCCGGCATCAGAAGATAAGCATCATAGCAACCTGCCGAAGGAATGTTGCCAAATACTCATACGTCTCCTGGTGACATTTCGATACGACAGCGGCAGGATTCGAACCTGCGCGGGCAGAGCCCAGTGGATTTCTAGTCCACCTCCTTAACCACTCGGACACGCTGTCTCTGTCGCGGCGAGGATTATAGGATTGACTTCGGGGAGCTCAGTCGTATTCGCAGTGCTGGGGAATTCAGACTCGTAGCCTTGAGCACTCAATCAATAAGTCACAATGGCCGCACCAACGACACCTGAGGGATTCGAACCCTCGCGGGCAGAGCCCAACGGCTTAGCAGGCCGCCGCCTTAACCACTCGGCCAAAGTGTCACATCAGACTGTTTCTAGCAACCAACCGAGGGAGCAGCCGCTTTGCTCGAGGAATTTGGTCGGTCCCAAGAACCAGTTGAGGGGCAATCAATTTCCACTGTCTCGAAACGCGAGTTGTAACCGAGGGAGCAGCCGCTTTGCTCGAGGAATTTGGTTGGTCCCAAGAACCAGTTGAGGGGCAATCAATTTCCACTGTCTCGAAACGCGAGTTATAGTTATATAGGTATGCACAATGGAGAGACGTTTTCGTCTTGCTGGCGTGGACGTCAACTTTGTATGCGTCAGATTTTCTGGGAGAGAGCCACCAAACTCAACTGTATATTTTTCGGGGACTGTGGATCCTGAGAGAAAGTCGGGAAATGAAGGAGTCGTCGGTAGAGTTTCGTTTGATTGTTTCCATGCCTCCCTCTTTCCGCGCTTCTAACTCCTCATGCTCTCGCCCGCTAGAAGCGTCTACGGTTGTCACGTGGCTCGTATGGTGATCACTGCGAGAGCAGCCCTGACGGACAGCTGGGAAGAGTGAGTTCACTCAGGAAGCTCATTAGAGGTAGAGGGCCGGCATCAGAAGATAAGCATCATAGCAACCTGCCGAAGAAATGTAGCCAAATACTCGTACGTCTCCTGGTGACATTTCGATGCGACAGCGGCAGGATTCGAACCTGCGCGGGCAGAGCCCAGTGGATTTCTAGTCCACCTCCTTAACCACTCGGACACGCTGTCTCTGTCGCGGCGAGGATTATAGGATTGACTTCGGGGAGCTCAGTCGTATTCGCAGTGCTGGGGAATTCAGACTCGTAGCCTTGAACTCTCAATCAATAAGTCACAATGGCCGCACCAACGACACCTGAGGGATTCGAACCCTCGCGGGCAGAACCCAACGGCTTAGCAGGCCGCCGCCTTAACCACTCGGCCAAAGTATCACATCAGACGTATCTAGCAACCAACCGAGGGAGCAGCCGCTTTGCTCGAGGAATTTGGTTGGTCCCAAGAACCAGTTGAGGGGCAATCAATTTCCAACTCCTCATGCTCTCGCCCGCTAGAAGCGTCTACGATTGTCACGTGGCTCGTATGGTGATCACTGCGGGAGCAGCCCTGGCGGACAGCCGGGAAGAGTGAGTTCACTCGGGAAGCTCATCAGAGGTAGAGGGCCGGCATCAGAAGATAAGCATCATAGCAACCTGCCAAGGGAATGTTGTCAAATACTCGTACGTCTCCTGGTGATACTTCGATACGATAGCGGCAGGATTCGAACCTGCGCGGGCAGAGGCCAGTGGATTTCTAGTCTACCTCCTTAACCACTCGGACACGCTGTCTCTGTCGCGGCGAGGATTATAGGATTGACTTCGGGGAGCTCAGTCGTATTCGCAGTGCTGGGGAATTCAGACACATAGCCTTGAACACTCAATCAATAAGTCACAGTGGTCGCACCAACGACACCTCAGGGATTCGAACCCTCGCAGGCAAAGCTCAACGGCTAATCAGGCCGCCGCCTTAACCACTCGGCCAAAATATCACATCAGACTCTATCTAGCAACCAACCGAGGGAGCAGCCGCTTTGCTCGAGGAATTTGGTTGCTCCCAAGAACCAGTTGAGGGGCAATCAATTTCCACTGTCTCAGAACGCGAGTTGTAACCGAGGGAGCAGCCGCTTTGCTCGAGGAATTTGGTTGGTCCCAAGAACCAGTTGAGGGGCAATCAATTTCCACTGTCTCGAAACGCGAGTTATAGTTATATAGGTAAGCACAATGGAGAGACGTTTTCGTCTTGCTGGCGTGGACGTCAACTTTGTGTGCATCAGATTTTCTGGGAGAGAGCCACCAAACTCAACTGTATATTTTTAGGGGACTGTGGATCCTGAGAGAAAGTCGGGAAATGAAGGACTCGTCGGTAGAGTTTCGTTTGATTGATTCCATGCCTCCCTCTTTCCGCGCTTCTAACTCCTCATGCTCTCGCCCGCTAGAAGCGTCTCCGTTTGTCACGTGGCGCGTATGGTGCTCACTGCGGGAGCAGCCCTGGCGGACAGCCGGGAAGAGTGAGTTCACTCGGGAAGCTCATCAGAGGTAGAGGGCCGGCATCAGAGGATAAGCATCATAGCAACCTGCCAAGGGAATGTTGTCAAATACTCGTACGTCTCCTGGTGATATTTCGATACGACAGCGGCAGGATTCGAACCTGCGCGGGCAGAGCCCAGTGGATTTCAAGTCCACCTCCTTAACCACTCGGACACGCTGTCTCTGTCGCGGCGAGGATTATAGCATTGAGTTCGCGGAGCTTAGTCGTATTTGCAGTGCTGGGGCACCGACTCGTAGACTCGAACACTCAATCAATAAGTCACAGTGGTCG